TGACGAGGACTCCGAGGATGATACTATGCCTCCCTCACCGCCGCAACCCACGCTGGCCAGCTTCTCGGAGAAGCAGCCTCAATCGGCCGACCTTTCACTTTCCGACCCTGAATATGGGCCGGGGTATTACGTTACTGAGCGGGAGCAGAGCACATTCATCGAGGCGTATTGATTACGTCTTGTTTCGATTGATTGTTTCTCCACCAGTATATATTCTCGTGATACCCTTTTGTCTGATTCGGGCATTTATTTTCTGGCGCTTGCATACGCTATGCAGGCACGGCGTTTTTTGGACTAGTTTCAGCTATCGACTTGATGCATCTATGGGCGTCTAGATTTTTGTTAGTGTGTCCACTGTTTGGGCACCATTGATGATTCTCTACTCTTACGAAGGCATGTATGGAGCCCCTATTGTCGGGCATGCATGATGGGATGGCCTTGGGTATATGGCCAATCTTATATACATATGATGATCTAAAGATCAAGAAATGAACAAATTCTTGAAAATATCCGTCCTCCCCCTTTTTTCCTCAGTAGCACAGTTACTTACTGGATGATCGTCTGAATTCTGAAGACACCCCATCCACTTGTTGTTCGCATTGGGGCTCCTGGCCAGTTAGTCTGGTCCTTTAGCGACCGACTATTTGCTGATTAGTAAGTTTAAATTCTCCTCAGGCGTAGACAGAAACTCTTCACTTCAGACGCAAAGTATCTAAGGCAAATAGCTCAAGCTCCTTGAAGATCAGGTACCTTGCTGCCCTAGACCAGCGTCCGCATGTGACTGTCGATCTTCAATAGTCACCTCTGGCGCTGCCGCTCTAAGCCACTAATGACTACAAGAGGGGTACACAGCCTACTCTGTAGTCAATAGACAATCCATAGTTACCCTTTTGAAACGGGTATCTTCTTGATGGATCTTAGAAGAACTTTCTATATGTTACTAAGTAAATGTCCGTAGAAGCCAGATCCATTTTACTCACCATCATGGCCATCGTTGAAAGAGAACGGGTCTTCGCTCTTCAGGATACTGGTGGGGTGTGGATCGGATAGTGACGCCTGATACCCGAGTATGACTCTAACATCAACTCTAGACTAGTCCATCAACGGAGTTAGGACTCCGGAAGTTTTTCTCTTGGGGTCTGTCTCACGTCTAAATTCAAAGATGAATTTATTTCCGATAATCCCGAATTTCTTCCTTGAAACACTGGGATTCCGCAAGTTTGTTATTTACTCTGTTGGGTGTAGTCTGCAGTCGGATTCAAGTTTAGTTTCCGTGAGTCATGTAGAGGCAGCTGACGGCTTCAAATTAACCCCTCATTTGCGAGGGAAAAGCTGCCTTGATGTCTATGAGTTAAGTGCCGAGTAGCCGTCCTGCAGTTGAAGGCTGAAGAGGGGATGTCATTGGAGTTATGCAGGTCTGACAGGATGGGGTTTGTGTCTCGAATCAACAAGAGGCTTATGCGCTGTGACTTTGGAAAGTCTGTGCTGTATCCGTACTTCATAGATAGTCGGTGCTGGCATAGATGTGCATATCGCAATGGTTCAGATCCAGTCTGTGATAGACTGATAATACCAGGGTATTATTAGGGGACAACACCACTCACCGCCTTTATCTGCCCCTCTTGGGCTTCTCCTGTTCTCACCTTCCTCTCTGCATCCGGAAGTCAAGAGCTCACTTTCCTCTTCATTCGTCCTCATAGCCAGCCAAATTCATTCGTTTGCTGAATTCCTTCAACAGTTCAATCGCTGCAGCCGTCTTCGAGCTCTGCCCAAACTAAACAAACCCCGTCTGCCTGGGGTCTTCCCACCACACCCGTTCTAAACCATGATCGGCATTTTCCGCATCACACCACTGGCAGACGAACTTCAGGAGCTTCATGGAGGCTGAGCTGCTAGACAAATAGATTGAACCCTCCGTCGTCTCCATCTCCAACAAATTTGTCTGAATACTGAGTAAGACTCGGCTTGGTCGAAGTCTACAATTCCTTAATTCACCTCGTTTGGAGAACTCCCCTCTCCGCATCTGCATTCCAAAGCCGGGACCAAACGCCCCTCTCACGTGCGCTTTGGATCGCACCCCTCTTCTTCTTCTGTCTCCACGAAGGACAAACTACCGGTGTATCCATCGTATCCCATATACCGACGAAATGCGGTCCTCCATCTCCCCACGACATTCGTTCGACGACACTGGACGCGAGTCACCCCAGCCAAGGTGCGTATCCCCTGGGGGCGATAGTCCGCGGCGCAAGTCCATCCAGTTCAATATCGGTGGAGTCGAAACGCAGTCCCCTGTCCGTCGGTCTTCAAGCGTCAGAGTCCAGAAACGATCGCAGATCGAGGTGCCGGAGAAGGATCAGAAAAGTGGCTCTGTTAGTCGAGGCCTTTCTCCGCCTCCGCCGCGGTACGTCCGGAGCTTTTGTTGCGCTTGCGCTGCTGGTTGCGACGCTGCTAACAGGCTGAAATTGTTTGCTTAGAACCTACGAGCGCGGTGTCTCCTTCGACACATTCGATAATCCCGACGCGGCAGACTTCTCGTTGACTTTGAACTACAAACATAAAGGCTATCAGTGTACTCGCCGCAGTAGGACTTTCCTCTGTGGCACTGATCAGAATGATTACTCAGATTTTGCCCTGGAGTGGCTGATCGATGAGTTGGTCGACGATGGCGATGAGATCGTCTGTCTGCGAGCCGTTGAAAAAGATTCCGGTCTCGCGAGCGATGCGGAGATCGAGGCTGGAAAGTACAGGAAGGAAGCCGAGAGGCTGTTCGAGCAGGTCATACAGAAGAACAGCCAGGACGAAAAGGCCATCAGCTTGGTTCTAGAATTGGCGGTTGGTAGGGTTCAAGACATTATTCAGCGAATGGTATGTTAACCTTTGTCCAGACTAGGATATGTATTGAAGTATACTGACACTATAAAGATCAGGATCTACGAACCTGCGCTGTTGATCGTGGGAACGCGTGGCCGTAAACTCGGAGGTGTGCAAGGCTTGCTGCCAGGTTCTGTCTCCAAGTATTGCTTGCAGCAGTCGCCGATTCCCGTCATTGTCGTCCGCCCCACCACCAAACGAGAAAAGAAAAAGAAAAAGCGGCAAGCAGATCCTACCAGACGCAGCTACAATCAGATCCTTGAGCAGAGTTCGCGTCGGGGTAGCCGCATCTTTGATGCTAGTTCAAGCACCGACAGCAACATCTCTAGACTGCCCGATGAAGAGGCCGCGGTTGCGGCAGCTTTGGGTCTCCCTGCCTCATATACCAATTCTCGGAGCTCACTTTCCATGTCGGAGAGAAGCAGTGTCAGTCAGGAGGAGCCGGTGTCGCCAAATTGGGGCTCTTTGAGCGTCACTGCCAAAAATCGTCTTGCGGAGAGCGCAGAGACAACGGAAGATGAAGGCGCCTCGGATGATGATAATTCTGCTTCCCGGTCCGGTCAGCACATCGAGGATGTGTCGCCCAAGCACAAGGCTGCGGATGACAGTCAAGCTGTTTCCAATGACGGCGACATATCACCGGACAGCGGTACACAGACCACAACGATGACTCCTCCACCTCTCGAATCCCTAAAGGTCAATATTCCAGTTATTGTCACTGAGGATATTTCGACCTCTCAGAAAGATGAAGGCAAGGGTGAATGATTCCACAACTGTGGACCCAGTCTTGCAGCCCATCTCATCCATCTACCAGCGTACATCGCTACGGCATTCCTATACCATTAGTCGTCCTGCAGGTGGCTCTGATCCGCCTCTATCACCTTGATTGAATGCTCACATTCTGCTAATCCCTCAGTATGAGCAATTACCAATTAGATCAACTGGTACCTCACGATGTCATGATCACTCCGCTCTGTTTTTATATGAAGCCTTGCCTCACATTTGTTGCGTGTGCTTTGTCGGGCTACCTGGTCGAAAAAAAAGATAAAACAGTTACCAGTCTGATGCATCTCATAGCTAGACTTACATGTATGAGTTAGATTCAGTTACAATGTGAATGGACTCAACATAGATCAGATGAAATCCTCGTCCAAGTCCAAGCACTGAAGATAGGAAGGCACTATATCTCCAACCAATTTCATTTAGGTATGAACGATACAGTCTCGAGGGAAGCAGTTCCAATCCGCGGTGCAAACATAGCCCCGTTTATCAGCCTAGCAAGTAGTCGCCCAATCTTCCAGTAGGTCCAGACAATAATAGGACAATACAGACCTATGGCAAGGCCATTTCCATTTAAGGCAGACAGCGACAGCCATTGAAGAGTTATGTTATATTGAGACATAGGCATAGACATGAAGCTTGCAACGTCGATCTGATAGATAGATACCAAGACGGGGCGAAAGAGGAAACTTTTCTAACGGCATTTTGTCTAGAACGAAACAGACAGCGAAGCGGAGGCAGACAGACAGACAGACAGACGGCATACACCAAGCCAGTGTAGATGCAAATGCGGCGTAAAAATCAGAGCAAGAGAGAAACGAGAAGAAAATGCACACATGTCAGTCAGCTACAGTATTCCCGCATGACTGGGGAGCAATAGCGAAGCAAAGCAAGCGGAATCTTCAAAGATCTGACGGAGGCGTTCCAAAGTTCATGTCTGCCAGAGGGCAGACCGTTTTGAGTCCTCTGGGTATTGAGAATGCAAAAGAAAAGATAAAAAAGGGATGCGAAGAGGAAGATCGAGATGGAAACACCTCATATCGGCCTGACTCGCCAGATGGCTCTTCCTCTCTGGTGAACTTCCCCCACCTCCATTACGGCTCGGAACACATTGTACACAATAATGCATTGTCCCGTCGGCGACCACTATCCTACCCTTGTCGTTTGTAACGACAGAGTATCCGAGCGACCGATCGAGTCAAAATCATAGACGAGAAGATTAAAATGAAGAATGCTCAAACGGCATAGTTGGCATGGCATGACTAAGAAGAACGGGAGATAGAAAGGGGGAACCACATGATCTTTCCAGAAGAAACGAAAATTTTTCATCATTATCATTGCCATAGAATCTATGATGCTTCCTCGCCGGTGGTCGATGGGGCCTTGGAAGGACGGCGCTCAACGGCAGGTTGAGACTTGGTTAGCAAAGGTGAGGTAGGGTTCGAGGGAGGTGAGGTGGCCATGTTGTCATCCAAGCTAGCGAGAGCACTGCAGCCAGGGTTAGTCAAAAGACTGAAAATGAGCAAAAGGTGTCTGCGTTGAATCCTACCTGAACGCATTCATCGATGATGCGGCCTCCTTATCTTCCTTCTTTCCGGCAGTAGGGGTTCCGGAACGGCTGCTGGCTGCGCTATCATCGCTGCCACGAACCAAGTTGCCTCCAGGGCCAAGGTTCTTGCGGCCGCTGCTGCTGCGAGACCCAAGCATGCTAGATGGGCCAAAGGACATGGGCTGGTTGGTGTTACGTGTCGTCCGCAGACGGCGGAGATCATCGCTTCCAACCTTGCTGGATGCGTAGTCGGGAGGAGGGGCCTGGTTTCCGTAACTAGAGAAGCTGCGAGCATCGCCGCGGCCCATTGGTGGACGGTTGCCACGGTTGGCTTGCTGCCGGAGACGCTCCATCTCGGCCTCTTGCTGAGCACGAGCGGCCTTAAGAATCAGGGGTTAGCCGAATGTCACAATGTGTCTTTTAGAAGTGAGCGAACACATACCTCCTCGCGAATCTGCTGGATGGTCTTAGGACCCTTATCGGCATCCTTTGATTGCCAACGAGCATTGCGCAGATCAACAATATCCTGTAAATAGGTCAGACTAATTCCCAAGCTACATGTCCGGAGGGAGATAAACTTACCATCAGCATGAATCTCAATCGGCTTGGCAGGCCTGGAATCTCCATCATCATGTTGATGCGAGCAAAGTAGGCATCCATGAAGGTGTGACCTCTCTCCGAGGCATCGAGGCTGGCACCGATGGTGCGCAGGAGACTAGTCAAACTCTCGACCTCTGCCTCCTCAGGCATACCCTCGTAGTCGACCAGCTTCTTCACACACTCGTGCATGATACGCTCGGTCAACATGCCCAGCTTGTACAGTTCACCAATGAACTTGACGAGACCAAGACCACGACGCTTGGCGGCAGCGGCGGCATAGTACTCGTCTGACAGCATGGCGGCCTCTTCTGTAGTACCTTCCGGCTTGGGAGGAAGGTTGACCTTCCAACCACGCTCGAACTCTTCCTGGCATCGGTTGAGGAGGTACTTGCGGAACAGACTGCCACCAGTGACGACATTGCCGTTCTTGTCACGGATATTCTCATCCTTGATCTCAGGGCTCATGCTCTCAAGCATACGCTTGCAGAATTTGGCATAGATTGATGCCCAGTGAGCTTCGTCGGTGGCCTTCTCGAAGGTGAGCTGGATGACCTGGCGCAGAGTACGTCCGTCGGATTCATCCTTGGACTGCGATACAATCTCCAGGATCTGACCGGAGATACGGTCGAAATTCTCAGGGGTCATCTTGTTGAGAGCAGCCTTGACCTTACGCTGCACGACATCCGGAGGCAGATGACCGCCAGGAGTGGGGCCGGCGGCGGCGGCGGCGGGCTGAACGATGCTACGAGGCTTCCAACCCGTTGTGGAGACCTGGAGCGCCTTGACTTCCTTGCCAGCGGTGAGAGGCATGGACTTGGCCATCTCCTCCTCCTTCTTGGCGGACTGCTTCTCGCGCTTGCTGCCGGTCCGTGTGTTGGAACGGCTGCCACCACCACGGGGAGTTCCCGGTCCAATACCCATATTGGAGCCGGCACGGCTGATGGAAGGAGCTCCCATGCCCACAGGAGGACGGCCGAACTGGCCAAACGGCATAGCGGGACTGCGAGCATTAGAAGCAGCGAAGCGTTGCTCAGAGGTGGTTCTGGCCGCGGGCTGTCCGAAGGAGCCCATATTGAAAGGCTGGGCCACACCGCCGCGAGAAGGATTGCGTGCACCCATAGGCGTACGGGCGGACTGAGGACGCGATGTGTCGCTCTCGCCCACGGTCTCACGAACCCGGGCATCCCAGTCGATGGACGGTTTCTCCTTGAAGACACTCTGGAACTGAAGCAAGAATTCCTTGTTGTAGTGGAACTTGCGGTCCGCAGGAGCATTGGCATTGAGGGCCGGGTTGGGAGAGACGATAGAGGGCGGGTAATTGATCTTGCTCAAGTCGTCGACGAAGCGAGCCGATTGAAGCGACTTCATGGCAGCGCTGGGCTGGGGAGGCTCAACTGCCTTGGTGGTCTCCAGCTTCAGAGCAGCAGGCTTCTCCCGCTTCTGGGCACTGGCAGGCTTGCCAGGAGGTCCCATGGAGATGTCGGAGACGGGAGTGGCGGTGCCGCTGCCGGCAGGCGTGCTGTCCTCTGTAGCGGCTATTTCGCCCTTCTTGAGCGCAGCAAACAGCTCCTTGTTGGAGGTCTCTGCGGCAGCCTCACGCTTCCGCTGACGCTCCTCCTCGAGAGCTTCGGCCTCGGCCTCGGCTTGTTTCATGTTCGCTTCGTAGGCCTCGCGCTCCTCCTTCTCCTTACGCTCCCTCTCCTCCTTTTCGGCCTGCTTCTTGGCGTAATAGGCAGCTTCTGCGGCAGCTTCCTTGGCTTCGATCTCGGCCAGCTCGCGCTCGATGGCCTCGTAGTCGATCTCATCATCATCACCAGCAGGGGCGGGTTCCTCCTTCTTGGGCTCTTCGGCAGCGGGCTTGGCCTCGTCTGCCTTGTCCTTCAGGCTAAGCTCCTCCAGCTTCTCGCGTGCCGCCTCCTCATCGGCAGCTTTTTTCTTGGCGGCCTCCTCTTCTTCCTCCTGTCTCTTCTTCTGAGCAGCTTCCTCTTCCTCCTTCTTCTTGCGAGCCGCTTCCTCTTCTTCCTCGTGTTTCTTCTTCCGAGCGGCTGCTTCCTCTTCTTCCTTGCGACGTTGCTCTGCTTCGTCCTGTTCAATCTTCTGACGTACCGCCTCTCTCAACTCCTTCTTCTTCTCCTCGTCCGTCTTGGCCTTGGATTCGGTCCGGTTGTGATCAGCGCCACTGGCGGTGCGAGGCGGGGGCGTAGCGGTCGGGGTTGAGATCTTCACAGGAGAAGGAGTCGCACGGGCGGGGGAGGCCGGTGCCTTCTCGAAGGTCTTGACCACACCACTACCGGGGTCCTTGATGACAATGGGGCTCCGCTTGGTGGGAGGAATGACAAACTGAGGCTTAGGCGGCGCGGGGCTGTTGGAGGATCTGCTGGCCGTGTGAGTGTGGCTGGCCGCCGGAGCGCCTGCGGGAGGCTGGCCCTGGCCCAGGCTGGAGCCTGGACGGTCGTTCGACACCTGAGACGGCGTGCGAGACAGGGGAGCGGTCTGAGGAGGAGGCTGAACCGGGTACTGGTTCTGCATGTAGGGCGCCTGCGGGTTATACGGCATGCCAGGCCGTGGCTGTGGCGAAGGGGGAGTCATGTACTGCATCTGCTGCATGCCATAGGCGGGATTGTAATAAGCGTAGTTAGGGTCATAGGGATAAGCCTGGGGGGTTTTCATTAGCGTCAGATAATGTTCAAACTGACCGCTTTCCGGCGCGAGATTTGGAGGGGGGAGATGGAGAGGGGGAGGGGAAGTATGTGCAAGAGGGAGGCTTGTGGAGGAAGACGAAGAGAAACGACGGGATCCTTGTCGTCTCTTCGGAAATGGGCCACGACGGGGGGGTTTGTAAACAGAGGGGTGGTGTCTCACTGTTTGCGGGGCCATATGTTGTCCGTAGGCGGCGTAGGGCTGAGGAGGCATCTGGGGATGGGCCATCGGGACCTGGTTCATTTGAGGTGTAGCAGGATGCGCGGTCGCCAGAGCCGGGCTGCGCTGGTGTGGCGAGTTGGGGAAGGGCGCCAGAGGCCGTCCCTGGTTCGGAGCGTGGAACTGGGGGCCCATGTTGGGACCACCCCGGGGCTGGTTGGGAGACCGGAAGCTGGGACCAGGAGAGTAGGGCATCTGTCCTTGGTAACCGGACTGCGAATATCCGCGACCGCGTCCACCCTGGTGAGGGTAACCGCCGCGTCCAGGACCACTTCCCATATGGTTGCTCATATCACTGTGCGTGGACTGGGAGGATTCGCGACGGAGATGGGTCGACTGAGAGCCAGGGCCAAGGGGAGCTTGAGGACCGGAGCGCATCTGCGAGGAGAATAAAGTAAGCACAAACTCTTTGCATCACATTTAACAGATACACCGCAGGGATGCGTCCTTTTGCTTTTTCGATCTGCGTCAAAAGAATGCCATGACTTACGTTCGCATCGCCCGCATCTCCAAAACTTCCAAAGTTGGGCACATTTCCCTGAGACTGGTAGGACGATGGCGGCGGCCGACCACCGCTCGAGGCAGGCTGCGGGATAGGCGAAGGGGAAGTCTGAGGAGACGTAACACGGGGGTTCATCGACGGGGAAACACTCAAGCCCGACTGAGGCTGGGTCGCCAGAACGGCAGGGTTTCCCATGTTGGGAGAGCTCTGCGAGTTGGCGAAACCGAACTGGAGGCTATTGGGACGACTGGCAGGGCCACCGTTGGGGATGAAGCCAGAGGTACCGGCCGAGGTGATGGTCACCGAGGGCTTTCTCGAGTGGTCGCCTTGCGAGGCGGAGGCCGGGGCGCCATTGACGATGGTGACGCCGGGGGACTGGGAAGGTTGTTGCATGGGTTTGCCGCTCACAGGAGATACTGAGGTCGACTTCCCATGTTGCGAAGAGCCACCCACGGTGACGGGAGCGGCGGTCGAGTCCGTCGCGGACTTCTTGGTGGCGCTGGCGTAGGACCTGGCGGCCGTTGAGGTAGGAGCAGGCAAGGGTGAAGTCTTCCCACTGAGCGACGGGGAAGGCGAGTGCGACGAAGCGGCCTGAGTCGAGGTGCTCTGTCCTTGAGGTTGAAGGCCTGACTTTTGAGGGATCGAGGTCATTAGACAGGTTAATGGGAGAAAGGAAAGTTTTCCTAAATGCGCTTTTTATTTTGTGTGTGCGTGTTGGGTATTCGTGTGATGTCAAGTTGTGGGAAGCAGAATCGGAACGCGCTCCAGATTCCGCATTAAAAGAAGCAAGAATACTTCTAGAGGACTAACACTACTAGCGAAATAGTAGTATTATTTTTTATTTCTTTCTCAAACTCCCACACTGAACGGAGAGGTCGTCCGGTGGAAGGGAAAGGGAGATGGGGGGAGGTAAGAGTAGGTAGGTGAGAAAGGTGAGTAGTACACTGCCACCGGAAAAAAAAAAAAATAGGCAGGACAAAGAAAAAGGGAAAAGAAAAAGACGTCGTTGGACTACGACGAGTTGGGATATGGGGTAAGGAGGAAGGAAGAAAGAAAGGGAGAAAACCCAACTACGATAACTCGGTATCTACCTTTCTAGATCGCTAATAATAATATTCAACTACGCGCACAAGACACAGAGGGGGTTACTCTCCCTGTTCGGGTGCTTTACTACGCCTGTCTGTGTCGCTGTCTGCTGTCTATTTTTTCTCCCTTCGCCTTCTGTTCAGTGCGGCGAGCACAAAAAAAAAATTTGAAAGGCAAGGGAAAAAAAAAAAAAGGTGAAGCGCCTAGGCGGAACACAAACGAGCCTGACAATTTCCAACAAAACAATCACCACCTTCGTCAACGACAACTTTTATTGTTTTATTCTACTCGATTACTTGGTATTTTTCTTCTCTAAAAATGATCAAATCTTCTCATCCAAAATGAATGTGGCCAAAAGAAACAAGGTAACGAAAAAGAGAGCTGTTATCCATGGTGGATTAAACCGACGGAACCCTCCCTAGGTTAAGTTCCTACTTTACCCTTTCGGGACGGGGTGAGGATGTCAGTGCCATTGCTGACTGGCCGCGTCTTCGGGTTGCGGCGGCGAAAACAATCTACCTTAGGTACGGGAAACGAATAAGCAATTAGCAATCGAATAATACCTTACCCAGCTCAAGGCAAGTAAGGTGATGGACACTCCGTACTAACATCAAGTATGACCAGAAGGTATCTAACTGAGTATCTAGCCACATATCTGCCATTCTGTCCGACTCTTCATCAGGCGCAGAGACACATCAGCAAGTGACTCACCGCAAGACAAATGATGCCTAAGATTAGACTATGACCGGCAGAATTTCCATAGTGTTCTTCCAGTCATAAAACAAGGCAAGTCAAGATGAGATCATTAGCGCCTTAACGATTGATACCTGAGGCATCTTTGCCACCACTATCCTCAACATTATGCATCTTGTGATGAAATTAACAGAGAAAGTGGCTAAGGTATTGATAAAACTCGGAAATCATACATGTCTACCCAACTAGCTACGGCTTCTGCTGAGGAACAGTATGTTCAGGTAAATGTGTCAATAGTGCCATATCGCATGATGGTCACACCCGTACCTTCCTTGCATTCCGCATGTCGATTGGCAATGGCGGATCATCTTCATCCTCCCATGAGTTTCTAGAAAAGTACTCAAATTGCCTTTTGATACGCTTGAATTTCAACCCACGTACAGGACATACTCCCAAGGCTCCTGTATCATAGTATAGAGTACCTGAGCATAGAACGCAGACATCCATACCACTACATCCACATCTCTATTTATTTGTCTGGTTGGTCCGGAAACCAGCTCCTCCTACCGAGTAGATCCACCCAAACCAATCTATCCTCCTAGAAAGAACCTGATACCTAGCTAGAATTAGGATGTAGATACCTGCCAACCATGTGCCAATACATGAACATGATCTTTGGTCCACACACTATACCCCCTCATCCTGCCAAAGTCCCATTCGCCTTCCCCAAAGCCATCTGCACCCCCGTAGCTACACCCACTACCCCCCGAAGAGCAGTGTTCAAAACACCCAGTCCATAGCCACCCATCGCCGCGCTTTGCAAGTGTGCAAAGGCCCCTCCTGCCACCGGGTTACCAAACGAGGCTTGATACCACGCGGCTAGAGAATCTAGATACGAGGTTAAACATCGGCATTCGAACAAAGACGAGGAGATTGCATACGAGCAATAGGACCCAGAGATCCAAATCCTGTGAGGTATAGAATGGGCGAGATAACTGCCTCAGGGAAAGCGAAGAGACAGATCGAAGCGAGACGGAGTGGTTCCTGAGTGATGTAGGCTGTGATCTCCCTGCGAAGATCATGAAGCCCGAGAGCAGTTAGACATGGGATGCTGTGCTTTGCGAGCTCGACGAGCGTTCCTGTTGTGTTGGAAATAGTGTCGACGCTCGGAGTGAGATATACTGCGACGTGATGCAGCCTTTCAAGCGCCTGAGAGTACATCGTTCCTGTTTTTGTGGGTGTCGATCACAACTAAGATCTAGAAGAGGGCGTTCGAAGAACCGAGTCTCATGCTTTGTCGCTGGGATTCCTGGTTAATATCGACGGTAGAAGACTATGTGCTGTTGATGAAGATGGATACTTAAGAAGCCGTTTGCTGCGGCGCTGTTACTTCAGCGCTTAGTATGGCAATCAACCCACGCAAAATACTGCGGCAAGGCATATTCAACTGATTTGATCACATTTCATTGTCTTTCATGCCTACGAGTCTATATATCCCCTGGCCAGTCTATTTAGAGATTATACTCAGCATGACGTCATCACTCAGTGACAACGAGTCTAATGGTGGGATCCCCTGGGCCGCGGAACGTCGTCAGCTGCGCGTGGAATAGCCTCGACGCCAGAGGAAGCAGCCGGCTCTCCGCTGCCAAACCATCCCGACGTCCATCGGCCGCTGGACGATCTTTGCGGTCTCGCCGGAGATCGATCACGAACGTCTTCTGGGTTGATATGGTCAAACGAGTTGTCACTGCGATTCTTTCTCAGAGAAGAGCCATATGCAAGGTCGTCGTCCACATCGCCACTGTCAAGGTTACTTTCTTCCTTGGCCAATGCAGCGCGCAACACCTCAATCACTTCGCGCTGCTTGGAAATGAAGCTAGCCTTGTCCTCCCGGGACATTCCAGTCAGTTCTCGCGGCAAGAGGTTCCCGCTGGCAGACAGCTCTTCAGCCCGCGCTTCATGGCTTTTACCTGCGGAAGTCAATGCTGCCACAGCGGAGCTAATCGTAGAGTACCAATCATTGGCAGGAGCTTGTTGCACTCCGCCAGCAGCGGTAGGGATGTTGAACCGAGAGAGAAGCGACTGCACATATCCAGCGGGGCCGGTTGGCGGAGGTGGAGGGGCAGGGTGTTGACCCGGCAATCTCAGAATCTTCTCTCGGATGTAATCGATGGCCTGGTAGAAGTATTGAAGCCCAAGAGCTTTGGCCTGTTCATGGAAGCGGCCAATAAACACTTCGATCTCTCGTTCGTGGTGTTCCAGGAAGGGGTCGACATAGGTCTGGTACAGGATTTTTGCGCCCTGCGTCTGAGGAAGTACGAGGTAGGAAAAGAAAAACAGCCGAAACCAGCTGTAGAACGGGATCCTACAGTATATCAGCCTTGCTTTCCTTGTGCTATTTCATCGGGATGTGTCTTTAGTACCAGCCCAGAATGAAAATCGTCCATGATTCAGCCAACAAGATGCCCGAGAGGACCACCCAGTACATCAGCCATGGCGCCAGCTGTGACGGATCAGAGGAACGCAAAGCTTTGTAAGAGGCAAATACGGGGAAGAGAATCGTAATCACCGAGCTGGAATATGATGATCGAAAAGCATTAGCTCGGACCTAATGATCCTACGTATTGAGGGACGAGCACAGAGATATCTGGTGCCCACATTTTCCCCGGAGATACCGGAGTCAAGAGTACTTACGACATCAAGTCCGCGATGATTCCAAACATTTTGAATAAACCGATCTCCGGAAACTCTTTATAGGTTGGTGGAATACAGGGATACCTTATCGCGGAAACTTCAAGGTGTTGTATTGATGAAGAATATCTTATCGTCTAACGTGAGGAGCTACCTCACAGCTCTGAGTGCGGGGTGGGAAAGCAAGAGTTCTTCACGCGACCACGGGTCAGTCAAAGGGAGAACGGCCAGCCGCAGGGATGATGATCGACAAATGAGTCCGCCCGACAAGAATGTCCTGGGGCAATTGAAATTGGGGATGGCAAAAAGGAAGAATACAAGGGATAGAGAAGAAGAAAATGAAAATTGAAAGAGCTAAGTACGTAAGTTGTTGCCTGAGCTTTGGAGCTGGAGACCTTTACGAATGCCATAGTTAGTTAACCTAACGCTATAAGGATGTAAGCCCTATGGGTTGGTCCCATTTTGGGTGGGCTGTCGCTCCGCAGCTTTAGCCTTTACCGAATGGACATAATAACGCCACGGCCAAATCAGCATCATGAGCCCATCAACACACTGTCTATATTTGGTAGTCGAGGAGGATACCACGCAAGAGTTCTGTCTACCAGTATGAATGTCAGTCGTGATAATCTTTACAGCAACAAGGCCAAGACCTCGTTATTACTGTTTTCAGTGACCATATGGACATGCACCTGACGTCATTCATCACGATCTCTGAATCCTACTGATGAGCATCATTGACTACGAGATATTCGAAATGAGTGGGTTATACTTCGAGTAAAAACCTAATCCTGGGTTATACAGACAACGAGTTTTCAGAATAATGTTGGCGAGAGTAGTCCCTTCAGTAATAGCAAAATTAGGTACATGGTTAATTAGGCCTCTGCATGGTTTCACTGGAATACTAAAGGCTGAAGTAGTATTTAGGAGAGGGCCTCGTCGGTGGTCCGGAGACCAACATCCTACACGACATGGACCGCTTGGCCATCTTGTACTGTTTCATACATTTTTGTATGGGGAGGTACCTGTGGGATTGCTCGGAAAACCATAACCACGTGGCCCCCTAGCCTTTGAAGAATGGGCAAACCTACAATAGCACGTCCACGTAGTATGTGCTGTGTCATTCTATGCCAGTATTTAAATAAAATTTGTTTATTCCATACTTGTCCCTATTCAATCTAATGTACTAGAGGCATCTCTATGCTTGCAAAAGATGTTCCTCCTCATCGGCCCGTTCCTCTTGCCTCAGCATTGGTGGGATGCTTAAATTCGAGGCACGCCTCTTAAGCCAAGTTCCCAGCCAGCTCGATCCTTCATCCTGGTCAACTTGATGCGATTCACACGGCAGCAGAATTGCATGATCCAATGCGTGGGGGAGTCCACGATGTCTTCCACGCAACTGCATCGCGACAATGACCAACTTTGACACCCAATTAAACTGGGCACACAAGCTTGTTTCCGTCTCAGGATATCCCAAAGAAAGCCCGACAGTCCCATAGGCTGATACAATCTCGAAGAGAATAGAGAAGAGCGAGAACGCCGGGTCGTCGGCGGCTTTCTGGAGACGGCCTCCTTCCGCGATTGCAACGAGAAAGAGTCCGAGCATGACATACCAGAGATCGAATCCCAGCTGTCGCTGGATGTGCACAGCCAGCCCGATATGTTTTCCGTTCCTAGCTTCTGACTCTGAATCGGAGTCACTCTCATTCTCGTACACTCCGAGACTCCTTTCTTCATATACATTGGTTTCGCGCATGGCGATGGCGGTTGGGAAGGCAGAAATGTACATCATCACGAGGAAAGATACTTGAACGGCAGGATGGATGTCTGCGAGTGGTGCGACGGAGAAGCCGGCTGTTCGCGTTGAAGCGATCTGAAACAAGCCGTTGATGAGCCAAATAAAGGTAGACGGAGACTGGCGGTCCGTTTGGTATTCAGATCTCTGCATGAAAGCGATCTAGATTAGCCTGCTTGCTCTACGGATTGAACCAATTGCACTTACAGTGGAGAGAGTGCAGAAAACAGTGAAGTCAAATCCATTGAGCAAGATCAGCACCCCTAGGAGCCTCCACGATTCTCCACTAGGAAAAAGAAGGGTGAAGCATCGGCGTGGGTGATCCAGGAGGTATTGAAGCTCCTCATTTAGGGCACTACCATAAGCCGCCAGCTTTGAGAGCAGCCATATGATCAAGCGAAGCATGCATGGGAACCCAGTATTCCCAATGACGATCAGGAAGGACATCAAAAACAAGGGGAAAGCAGCATTCTTAAACGAGACCATTGAATCCGGCGTTAGTGTGTATCCTAGATCGTTGAAAGCTGAACCAGCAGTGAATATCCCCCACCAAAAAGTATTGACACCGTTCACCGTAACGGATTGGCCAAACGCTGGCGTCAGCCATATCCACGAGACAAGAAGCAGAATCCCTAGGATGTGGAAGAATATAAAATAGCACATCAGAATCATCCGCAGCGTCTTCAGTGCTCTGTACTCGATCCCACCGAGCTGGTCCTTTTGCCTTTCGTCCCAGTCGGAATAACTCGCAATGGATGGTTGCCACATAAGCGAAGGTAAGTAGGATATGCTGTGGCCGGCATCATTACGAGGTCTTGCCAACAAACGTCGAATTTCCGTTACAGCTTGATATGGTCCGGTACTAGTGAATGATCGTCGGTGGTGCCTTGCTTGATGTTCCACCTCGTGGAAAGTAACGTGGAGGCTAGTGGACACCGGAGCAATCTGTTTCATGACATGATATCTGGTCGAAAACAGCTTTTGGCCATTGTCGCTAATCCCGTCCAGCAAAGGTTGCGGCAGGCTATCATGCTCTTGGAAGATGCCAGACACCACAAGGTTGGAATTCTCTCGTCCAAATTCTGTCTCTTCTGCTTTCCTCTTCCGCATCAAAGACAAGACTTTCGTTTCGTTGACTACCCGTCGAAGCCGCTTCCGAAACCAATACAGACGGATGCAGACAAGAAACGAGTTCACAAAGATGACATTGGTGACCATAGCAACGATCCACAGGATTAGCTGCTGAAGCACATTAAGCTGGTTCAAGTCGATGGGGTTTAATCCGGTTTGCGTGGCAGCACCAGATGCTAGTAGTAGAGCATCAATATAACTGACCCCTCCAATACCATAGATGGTGAAAGATGCCAGTATGGTCCAGAAAGCAATATATATATAGTGGTGGTGAAGCCGGAATGGAGATAGATCTTTGTCTTCATGGCGAGGGTCGAGTGTCCGCATTGCGATGCCCCAGACAATCTCCAAACTCTATTCCAGCAAGAAACTTCCAGCCACCTCTCCCTGGGGTTGAGAAAGCGATAGCAGAGCAAGACATGGTGGAGAGTTATAAAGCCTCTGTAAGACATCACTCTCGTGGGAATGGCTCGTAGACGCTAACAAATACCTCATAATGCACATGTTTGAGGTTATTTTATGACCATTGAGAGCAGTGGTTGAAGCAGAGACCCAGAATTAACATTGGTCATAGCTTCAAAATATGCAGTACTCTCATACGAAATGA